TTTAAAGAGTTGAGTGTTGACAGATTTAAAATCAAAAGGAAAGGACCGGGGTGATCTGGTAGATTTTTAAAGCAAGTTAGAAGCAATAAGTCAGTGTCTTGCCCTCCTTAGTTTTGTTACATTTAGGGCCATTGAAAATTCAAATCCATGCATGTTCACACCGGCTAACACAGGAATGACAGTTGCTATTTCTTATTTAGCCAACATATAGTTGAAGAATTCCTAAGATAATCAGTATCTAGTATTTAGCTTACCAAAGTTTAGTGGTATAAGTATGTATTTCATATCAGTTTATGAACAATACCATGTAAAGCTGATTTATATAGACTCTAGACAGCCACAGAGTCACAGTGGAATGAAAAGACAACAACGTAAATTGGAAGAGGAAGGGAAAGAAGCAAAGGGCTTAAAACCACAAAGTTCAGTGAAAACATACATACAGACAACAACAGAACATGTTGTCACCTCAAACTGTTTGTAATCAGTTGGAATGAGATGAGCGTCTCATGACTTCTAGAAGATAGAGCCAATGGCCCAGCAGTTAAGAGCACACACTGCTCTGGCAGAGGACTAATTTATAGTTTTTGAGAGAAATGAATCACTTCAATATAGGGTGAGAGCTATGATTTGCTTGACAAACCGGTAGCTTTTTAGATGACCTAAGTAACCATAAATAACAATTGCCAACAGGATGGGAGAGAACACACTAACACTACAGGCTGTCCCAGCTCTATGCACATTCAAATGACCAAATCTATATTGGAAAATGTCAAGACTGTTTATTCTGAGTCATTAGAGTATTTATCATGATACACAGTCTGCCAATATGTGACCACTCCTTTATAATATCCATATTTGAAAATTTATCATTATTTGCAAGTAATATACATTATTTTATTACAAATTTTTTTAAAAACAAAGTGCAACATCCTAAAAAAAAAAAAAAAACAACAACAACAAAATTTGCTGATATTATAAATTCCTATTAAGTTTGCTGTGCTACTATAAGAAATTAAAGAAACACTAAATATTTAGGAACATTCAACACCAAAAGCTTTAAATCTAACTGTACGTTGTAGCCCCTGATAAAGCTATAAACTCCTTTTTTTAAAAAAAAGTATTTTCGGGCTGGAGAGATGGCTCAGCGGTTAAGAGCTCCAACTGCTCTTCCAGAGGTCCTGAGTTCAATTCCCAGCAACCACATGGTGGCTCACAACCACTTGTAATGAAATCTGGTGCCCTCTTCTGGCCTGCAGGGACACATGCAGGCAGAATACTGTATACATAATAAATAAATAAATCTTTAAAAAAAAAAAAAAAAAAAAAAAAAAGTATTTTCTCTACAAAGGATCTCATCAGCTATACAAAAATCTGTACAGTTTTTATACTGAAGCTAATGTTGAGCTGCACTTGAATTTCACATTCTTAGCAAAATAATTGCTGAGCACATACACACCACACATTTTAGGAGAGCCATTTATTCTTCATCCTCATCCTCCTCATCATCATCTTCGTCTTCCTCCTCCTCTTCTTCTTCCTCATCTTCTGGTTCATTCTTCTTCTTTGAGCCTGTTGGCCTACCAAGACCCTTCTTTCCTGCTTCACTTTTAATCTGTTTTAGAAATATAGAATTTGGAATATATAGTAATACAAAACTGTTATTTAATGTTCTGGCCTATCCAGATTTCTTTACAAATCTACTTAACATCCAAAACACTGCTATAAGACAAAATTGATATTCAAATTGGTAAATCCAGATGTTAATGTCTCTTACACCATATGGAGGCAATATTTTGTTAGTTCTAGCATAACTAATAAAAAGACCAGAAATATAATAAATATTAAAGAAAAACAAAAGGTGATGTTTTCTGACATATATTATGAGACACTGTATTAGAAAGCTAAGAAAATTATCTGAAAAAAAATAGCCTTTTGCTGCATAATGGATAATTACTCATATTATTTCATGATACTGAGATCTAGGAAATGAAGCAACTTTTGACTACGTTACAATGAACAGCTGAGTACAACTTTTTCCATAGTTTCTAGACCTTAGGCTAAACACATGACTTCAGAAAGTCTATCAGGAGTTCCCGATTAACTCTGTGTCACTGGGATGTCATAGTGTTTTAGAGGTCAGCGAAATCCTTCTGAGTTGGAAAATGCTTGAAGCTATTTGCCCTACCTCAGGAAATAACTGCTTATATAGGTGACAGTCATGTCAAGTGGACTTAAATGTTTAGAATCAGGGTTAACGAATGTCAGCAAAAATAGCATTGGGCAGATAATACATCTCATAGCCAAAGGATTATTAAAAGTAGTCACACGGTGTGCTGGGGCAAATCTAATCTCTCAAACCACAGTCTTCCTGACATTGAAATTGGAACTAGCGATCTAATGTGCCCGTGACAGGGCACGTAACTGACAGTTTTCATCTTTGCCAAGTTCAATAACCTTTCAGCCACATCTGTAATCGCCCTGTAAAGCACTCGGGGAAAATCCTACCTAGATTTTCTCTCCTACCTATAGTTGCTCTTGTTATTTGAAAGAGCAGTTATAATATATTACAACATAATCTACAGATGAATGGTATTTTCACTAAGTGCATTTGTGCTGAAGATCTTCCTCCGGTGTATGGAACTGCAGACTGAATCTGGGGCCTTGTGGACACTATGAAGCACGCTTCCACTGAGCGACTCCATGGCCCTACACTAAAAGAAATGTTTGCACTTAGGTCATTCCTAGCTAGGTTCTCAAAAAAATGAACGAAGAGGATAAGCAGACAGTTGGAGAAATAAATAGGATTTAGAAGATATGTGGACACTCTTTCATAAGCTTACATTTTAGAATGCAGGTTAATCAGGAATTCTATTTCACTTCTGGGTTCTTTATTTCATCTTGTTTATGGAATCAACTTGAGCACCCCAAAGCAACTTAAATTTTCTACTAATGATTTATGATATGTCTATATCTAAGAAAAAATTGGTAAATTTTCTTTATTTTAAGACCTAGCAAAAACTTTATAGATATTTTGTGTGGCTTAAACTAGGAACATGACAAGTTCTATTAAAAATGTGTTATATTTGGCAGGGGAGCCAATGTTGTATTATCTAAATCTCAATAACAGAACATAGTGTCATAGTTTCTTTATAGACTGAAAATTCTATTAGTATTTCATTTCATAGACTATGTTGCTTTTTTGGTTCATTGATTCAGCCAGCAAATATTAAGCAACTATTATGTACCATGTGGATGCTATAGGTATACAGGCTAATGAGACTTTATAGGCTAGATACGAATAAATCTATGCTACAAATTTGATACTCATCAAACTCTAGAGATGCTAATTAAGTGTCTTTTTTTACAATAATGTTCAAAGAATGTAGATATTTTTCTGGGTCTTCTCAACTAAAAGTCATCAGTGTAGGCTATACTCGAGGATTTAAAACCTCAGGCCAATATCCTTCATACTATACAAAAACAAGAATCTCTTAAAAAGCACATGAATTTTGATGTGTGTAGCTGGATCAACAGGAAACTATTACTGCCGTACAGTGCCATCATGGTCAAACGTTTCTGTCCAGATTCCTGGAGAAGCAGGAGAATGCTGTTTGGTTTGTTCATTTGTTTTCCTTTCTGCCATCTTGGCATCTATCTCTGTATTTTATCCATGTAAATAACTATAGCTTATAAAACAGTGTAAATATCAATCTACTTGCACACTATTTCCACAAATTTAAGTGTCAAGCAAAATCCTTCACTGAACAGTAGAGATATTTCAAAAACTTTAATTATGTAAGAAAGTTTGTGATCATAAGTTTATATTTGCACGTACTTGTTTATTTTTTTATGTGTTTGTGTGTGTACATACATGTGGGTGGGCATGTGCCATGGCATATGTTTAGAGAGAGATCAGAGCACAGTTGTGCCAGTCAGTTCTTTGCATCTACACCATGAGTCCCAGGGATTGAGGCAGTTAGCATTGGCAGGAAGTGCCCTTACCCAACGGACCATCTCATGTGCTACAAACTGGTCATTTTAAAGACAAGAAAAAAATGAAATTACTTCCAAGTTTTAAAAAAGGCAATGCCTACAATAATTTTATTTAATTAATAAAAATTTGAAAATAATGTTTTGTAGCAAAATGGAAATTCTAATCAGAAACATGAAGGTACCATATTTTGAAGATATTAATTTTAGCAAAGAGTTCTTGGGTGATATTTAATAAGGAGGCCACATTTGTATATTTGAAATATTCTTTTCTTCATTCTAATCTCAAAAAGAATACATAAAATATACTAAGGTGTCCTGTCATAGAGTCATCTGGAACTCAGCTCTGATTTTATTTTTATTTTTTACTATACATTTTCTGAGCCAGCGCTTAGACTTACTTCCGATTCTCTCTCCACCATACTACCTGCTTCCTGCCCCCTAGAGTTTTGATTATAACTTTTCCTTTCCAATTTGGTTATAAATTTCTTTTAATGTCATTGAGATAAACCACCCTCTCTTTTTCTCAGAACTTGGAGACTTCCTTCTCTCCCATTTGAACCCAAAGCCTTAATTGTTTTTACAACATTTACAGTTTTTAAAATGGACATTGTCCAGTGCCTGATGGTCAGGCCTGAAAACATACAGACAAATAACAGTATACGGATTGGTCAGGCTACGTTTAGGAATGTCTGTGTATACATACAGATATATACATGTAATAACAATGTGAAAAAAGAGGGCATGAGTCTGAAGGAAAGTAGGGAGGAGTATTTGGAGAGTTTGGATGGAGGAAAGGTAAAGGAGCATTGTAATTATAACCTCAAAAATAAAATTTAAAAATGAATATTAGTAATCAGATGGTTTCAATAGCCAAATGAATTTCCTGGTAAATAGAAAATGGATGCCTCCAATCATTAGCTACTCACAAGAGGCTTTTTAATTGTTTGAGGCATTCAAAACTTGGGGAAGAACCTTACCAGTGAAGACATTCTCTCTTCTTTTTACAGAAATTTGCCTGCTGACCAAGGGCCGGCGCACCGCCAGTGTCCGAGCTGATACATACTGTCGTCTTTACTCCCTTTCGGTGGACAATTTCAATGAAGTCTTGGAGGAATACCCAATGATGAGAAGAGCTTTTGAGACCGTTGCTATTGACCGACTCGACCGGATAGGTACTTTTCAGCTTTCCATTTCCTCAAGCACAATTTCATTTTAGGTTTGAATTCTAGTGCATAGATATCTTGTTAATTTGTGTGAAAAAAAAAAATAGAACACAGCTCTGTAGTAAATAGTTGTTTAGAAAGACCCGAGGTAGCTCCTTCTCCTTCTAAATGCTCTGGACTGATTTGCTCATGTCTGTTTTCACTAGCTACGCAATCTGATAGCCCAAGTGATACCACTTCAGTTTGAATCGTCAGGTAAAAAGCACTGGTACAAATTCCAGATAGCACTAAAATAGTAGTGAAAGCCAATATCATGAGTCTGTATTACATTCCATATTTTATTATAAGGTTCTTTTTATCTTTAAGGGCCAGTTTTACATTTTATACTTATATTAAAAAAAATTAAAACTTACGCAAGTTTTAAATCGGGCTCAGCAGAAACATCAAAATGTTTGTGATACAGACTCAAACAGAACAAGCCTTTGTAGACATGCCCTACATAGATGTTTCTTTGCAAACATCAATGATGTGAAGTATTTTATGCTACAAAACAGAAAAGTATGTTACCTAGAACTTGTTAGTTATGCTAAAGATTTGCGTAGTTTCTCCCAGCAACATTGTTTTGCTGTTAAATTCGCTGGCTATCCTGGAATATGATGAAAAGATCATTTGAGTTCATTCTTCAAACCTTAACCAGTTTGTCCACCTTACCTTTCCTTCCCCTCTCCCTTAGCATAGTTCTGCACTAGATTCATAATTCAGCTTAAACACTATTCCCTGTAGAGACTTTTTCTTGCTTCTCACCACATACTAGGCAGAATTCCCTTGATGCATTCTCATATAGTCTCCTACATTCCCCTCTCACAGCCCTGCCTTTGTTATAGTAACTGTTCTAAAAAAAATACTAAACTCTATGGGGAGAGCATCTTTAAGTCACCATTACACTTGCAATATCTTGTCCACAATACATGTATGTTGAAGGGGGAGGAAGGGGGAGGGAGTAAATATACCTGAAGCAGATGGAGTTGGGGTCAGTTAGAGGTAAAGAAAAGGTGTCTCAAGATCTTCATTGTTAAAAAGGTAAGGTCTTATTTTTTATGACAGCTTCTCACCCATCTTTCTTTCCCTCTATGTAGCACAGAATGAAAGACTTTAAGGGTGAAAAAATGGATGAGGTAAAGGAAAAGTAGTGTGTGGACATTATCTAAGGGCACACACACACACACACACACACACACACACACACACACACACACACACACATATAACAAAACAAAACAAAACAAAAATCAGAAGTTCATAGTGACAACTTAGCGAGTTAACATAGTCATCCACAGAGATGGCACCCATGAAGTAAGTAGACATTCCTAAGAGCAGGATTTGAAAACAACCTCATTTTTTTTTTGCTATATGAGTGTTCATGTTAGACACAGAGACTAACTTCTGAGTACTTGGGACTGATTTCCTAAACCAAATGGGTATCTTTAGATAAATTATTAAAATTCACTATATCCAGTAATTTCTATTAATCTGGTTCATCTTCATTCTCTTCAAAATTGTAATTTCTCAAGAAAATTCCATGAGATTGTTTTAATCAACAGTACAAGCAATAGTGTTGCTAGGAAGCACCCAACGTTCTATTTTTGACCCTGATAAAACTCTAACAGTGCATTAAAGCTAAAGCAACCATTTTTTTTGTTTTTTTCAATGTAATTAAGATTTTATTTTAAAATGTTATTAATACACAATTAACATTTGTTAATACAGGTTTATGAAACAAAGTTTCCCATTTCAATTATGTAAATGGAGATATAATGAGGCACAAATTGGATAAGAAATATAGGTAGACTATGTCTATATTTTTAACAAATACAAATACACTGTCTCTAAACATTCACTAATATCAAATGAGTTTATCTTTAAAAAATATCTTGCATCTAATTTTTTGCAATTTCAGTTTTTAAATTATAATTTTATTTATTTATCTATAACCATTATCAACTTGTAATAGTTTATCCATAACTATTGTCAAATGTAGGATGAATAAAATGTTAATCAGTTCATTTTTCCAGATTGGTACAAATAATCACACCTATAAAATCAGCCTATTTGACTTGACAAAACTCAGGCCAGACAATTTGTTCAGTTTCTCCATGTTGCTGTATTCTAACTATACCATCACACTCAGACTGGAGAGTACATTCTATTCCTGTGACTCATATTGTATAATTGCTAAGTTTGAAGACTTCCTTGAAATGAAACTTTATAAAACATATACAGTGTCTTTAATAATCATTCCATGCCTTTACTAAACTATGTCTTGTTTTCAAAATTTAAACTAAACCATTTTAATAACTTGAGATAATCAGATACTATAACAAATGAGATCAAAACAAGCACATACCAAACATTCATACTCTACTTGGAAAGTTAAATTCTAATTAAATACAAAAACATTATAATGAATATAAATGCTTCAATATCTAAAACCAATAATTTTTTTATTTTTATTTTGCAATACAATTCAGTTCCACATATCAGCCACGGATTCCCCTGTTCTCCCCCCTCCGGCCCCCCTCACCTTCCCCCCAGTCACACCTCCTCCAGGGCAAAGCCTCCCCCAAGGACTGAGATCAACCCGGTAGACTCAGTCCAGGCAGGTCCAGTCCCCTCCTCCCAGGCCGAGCCAAGCGATCCTGCATAGGCCCCAGGTTTCAAACAGCCAACTCATGCAATGAGCACAGGACCCGGTCCCACTGCCTGGATGCCTCCCAAACAGATCAAGCCAATCAACTGTCTCACCCATTCAGAGGGCCTGATCCAGTTGGTGACCCCTCAGCCATTGGTTCATAGTTCATGTGTTTCCATTCGCTTAGCCATTTGTCCCTGTGCTCTATCCAACCTTGGTTAAAGCAACCATTTTAATTCTTTTCACAAAGATACTTCAATTATGAAATGTTGACTGTTCAAATACAAAGCAACACTGTCCATCTTAGTTGTGAGATCAATACTTAAATATTTATTGTAGTTATTTAAGGTAATATATCAAATAAATAAACTGTATTGTAATATATCAAATATATCTGTATTCATTACTAATACTAATATAAGAGGTTTTTTTCTTTAGGAAATTAGAGAAGCTTTGAAGAAAGGAACAACAACTATTTTGACAATGATATAAAATGACCACTTCTCTCATTATCCAAGAAATTTATTATACAGCATCCTGTTGAAAATGTGCTCAGTTATTTTGAAGTGTTACTATTTAGCAGTGAAGCATAATTTATTCACTTTTCAGTTACCAAGCTCATTGGGTATTTTTATTGAAAATAGATTCTTCTCTCATATAATACATTCTGGCCGGTTTCCCCTCCCTCCATTCCTTCTAGACACTTCCCTACCTCCCCTCTCCCCCAGATCGACTTCACCTCTGTTGTCTCCCCTCAAAAAAAAAAAAAAAAGCAGACCTCCAAGAGACAACAACCACACACCACAAAACAAAATACAATGAGACAAGGCAACCCAAGAGGAGGAGAGAGTCCCAAGAGCAGGAAGAGTCAAAGACACACCTGCTCCCACAATCAGGAGAATCACAAAATCACCAAGCTAACAGCCACAACATTTACACAGAGGACCTGGTGCAGACTCCTGAAGGCCCGGGGTTTGCTTCGTAAGTCTCTGTGAGCCCCAGTGAGCCCCCGTGAACCCTGCTTAGTTAGTTCAGTTGGCCATGTTCTCCTGGTGTCCTCCATTTTTTTTTTTTAACCAACGTGTGATTGATTCTAATTAATATTCTACCAGGGAATGCCTATCTATTGCAAAGCTCTCAAAAAAAAATTACGGTAAGAAGTAGAACTAAAGCTTATTTTTGTCCTGGAGTGAGCTGAGAAGTGCACAGCTCTGTGCTTTTTCCCTAACAGTCTCTATAACAGAGGAGGGCAGCGCGTGAGGCACCCCACACTGCGCATGTACATAAGCATCCCCCTAAGGAAATTTGCTTGCAAATGCTAAAACCTGGAACCCATGTCAGGTTGTTCACATGTAATTGGTATTTGTATTTTTTTTAAAACTCCAGAGATGAGAGAAATATGCAGCTAGAATGAAGAGTCATTGGTGCCTGGCATTAGTCAAAGGCTGAATCTCTTGAGATAGTTGCTCGTCATGATACTCTATCTGTATAAAACAGTACCAGACTGAGCAATCTGGGTCTGGTCTGAGGGACTGCCTTTCTACAGGAACCCAGATGATTCAGATGAAGCCAATCTGTCATTGGTAGCAAGGCTGCACTATCAGAATTTCTTCCTTTCTTCACAGCCTCTTCACTGTCTAACCCAAATTTCTAAGCAGCGATCTTAACCTTCCCAAGTGATAAATACGATGAATACATTTGCTTCATAATCCTGAGCATTGTGTAAATGGTTCTCCCTAAAACCTTCTGTTGATTGTGTGTCCCGAGGCAAATGCTCCAGTGATGTCTCTGACTCTCCTTTGCCTTGCCTTACAAACACAACTCGAAACTAAAATAATGATCTAGGCCCAACCTGACCCAAACACCCACGCTTCTCTACTACACCACAAATTATGCTCCTGTTACATAGGTACATTTCTTTTGTAAAGTAGCTTCTTTCTGCCACCTTTAGTCTTTCCAATTTTTCTTAAGTAGAGTGTGAGGTTTCTAAGCAGATGAAACATTGTGCACGAGGCAGATGTTCTACTTCTGTTTGGTGGTGACAGATGAGGTTCTTGACTTCTAAACCCATGCGTCTTAACACTGACATACATCACCCTGGAGTAGCCAGTCTCTTGTGCCATTATTAGTTACTTTCAGCCTGTCTAAGTGCCTATTTTTCCTTTGCTGATAGGCAAGAAAAACTCCATTCTCCTTCAGAAGTTTCAGAAGGATCTGAACACTGGTGTGTTCAACAATCAGGAGAATGAGATCCTCAAGCAAATTGTGAAGCACGACAGAGAGATGGTTCAAGCGATCCCTCCAATCAACTACCCTCAAATGACAGCCCTGAATTGCACATCATCAACCACCACCCCAACCTCCCGCATGAGGACACAATCTCCACCAGTCTATACGGCGACCAGCTTGTCTCACAGCAACCTCCACTCACCCAGTCCCAGCACACAGACACCCCAACCCTCAGCCATCCTCTCACCCTGCTCCTATACCACAGCAGTCTGCAGTCCTCCTGTACAGAGCCCCCTGGCCACACGAACTTTCCACTATGCCTCCCCCACTGCTTCGCAGCTGTCACTCATGCAGCAGCTACCGCAGTCCCAGGCACCCCAGACTCAGCAACAGCAGCAGCAACAGCAACAGCAACAGCAGCAGCAGCAGCAGCAGCAGCAGCAGCAGCAGCAGCAACAGCAACAACAGCCACAGACACCTGGTAGCTCCACACCGAAAAACGAAGTGCACAAGAGCACGCAAGCGCTTCATAACACCAACCTGACCAGAGAAGTCAGGCCCCTCTCGGCTTCGCAGCCCTCGCTGCCCCATGAGGTGCCCGCTATGATCTCCAGACCTCATCCCACTGTGGGCGAGTCACTGGCCTCCATCCCTCAACCTGTGGCAGCTGTCCACAGCACGGGCCTTCAGGCGGGGGGCAGGAGCACAGTGCCACAGCGTGTCACCTTGTTCCGACAGATGTCCTCGGGAGCCATCCCCCCCAACCGAGGAGTGCCTCCAGCACCCCCACCACCAGCAGCTGTGCAGAGAGAATCTCCCTCAGTCTTAAACACAGACCCAGATGCAGAAAAACCGCGTTTTGCTTCAAATTTATGATCCTTGCTGATTGTCAAAGCAGAAAATAAATACTCTAATAAACAGAATATTCTCAGATATTATTTTAATCTATCTGGTGATAGATCCCTATAGCCTACTCTGAAAAGATATTTTAGACAGCTCTGGCCTACATGCAAATGTAAAAACATATATACATATATAATTAAATAAATATACATATCTCTATATATAAATGCCCAGAAGAAGTTCAAAAGACTTGTATAGCATTCAGTGTTACATGTCTTCCTTTCTTTAAAACCATTAAAGGATTTAACACATTGTTGTAAGATCATTGATTTCTAACCCACTTTTACTTAATTCCTTTGATATATGTATTTCTCTCTTTTATGAAGAGTCCTGGGGGGGGGGGGTCAATGGCATCAAAACTCAGATTTTAAAAAGGCAACTCCAATTAGTTCCAGAAGAGCACCAATCAAAGCTTTCCTTCATTAGCTGTGCCTCTGTATCTAGATTGCTAATTATGTGGGATGAAATAACCCAATCCCAGTTTATAGCTCTAAATTGTATTTCGGTGCTTTAAATTTTGAGTTAGGTGAAGGAACACACTACGTGCTCAGCCACCATAGGAGACTAACATCGCCACTACTAAGGCTTTCTCTAACCTCAAGCATGTTCATTGATTTGGTAGGAAGGTGAGGAGATATTTGTCTTCGTGTGTGATTGGACTTCTACCGAGACTCTGTCGATGTTAGTTGTAAATAACTTTTCCAGCCCAAATAAAAGTAACTCTTCTGTGTTGTATAAAGGTAAAAGTCACTGTTTAAGAATTCAGTTTTATGGCTTCACTTCAAAAGTTAAGAGTTTTAAATTTCACAAAATCTAATAATTGTGACAATTGTTCAACTGTAATGCAATGGCTTCAGACCTACAATATTATTTTAACCTGCAATATTTTATGCAAAATTGTATGCTTGAATCTACAAATTGCTTGTATTACACCAAAAAATTATTACTTTTCTTCCTTATTGACATAATCAAGCATCTGAAACTAGTCCTGGCATGCTTTTTGGGGCAAAAAAAAAAAAAAAGTAGATTCTAATCAGTCATTGTAAGAAAAGGCTTACAGTATTTCTCACTTCTAGAAGATATAACAATTCATTTATTGCCTCTTTTAGAATTCTTAAAAGGGTGACTTGGATCTCTGACTAAAATCTAGAAGTGAGGTTTTCACTTTAATTTAATATTATCGCTGTTATTATCATTTAAACAGTTATTTGCGAACCACAGCTTGGTTTGGAGTTAAATGTGTTCTGTGTCTTCATGTTAGTTGGTAGTTTATTGTGATGTTAATGTGAAGAAATAAATATAATAATCATCACATCTGTTTGGAAATGCACATTTGCCCAATGTATATTGTAGCTAAGCAGTTAGTAAATCTTAAGGCATGTGGTAACCAACATAGTCCTTAGATAGACCGGAGGTTTGTTCTTTTAAATGTGCTGAAAGTAGGGTGGACGTGGTGACAGGAAGCAGGGGTGAAGTTGAGCTGTCTGTAAGCATTGTTTGTTTGTTCTTTTGTTTCCTTAATTCTTTCTGTGAGCATCAGCCTCTTAGAGATCATGTGTGCTTATGGCATCCCACACATGTGGTTGAATGGAACACAATGGGAAGATTCCTCATGTTTGACTTCTGTAAATAACTCAAGAGAGTGACCTGACGTGGAGGTCTTTAGTAGCACGAGCACGGATGATCCACTTAAGAACATTAAACACATTCTGTTGGGACAGGGCCTCTAGATAGACTTAAGGACAGAAAACAAAACAGAAGCAAAGTGAATCCATGCTGCCTGTTATGCCTTTTATGGATCTAACACCTATGAAACCAAAAAGAATTGCTATGCTTAATTGCTAACAGATCCTAATTTGTGTGGAAACAATCAACAATGCTAGGCAATATGATGTTATTTATTACTGACATGCTGGTGACTAACGACAGCCTGTTGGGAATGGTGTAAGAGAGAGCTCATTCGGCCTACCTAGAATCTATGAGAAAGTGGCAAGACTATTTACATATCAGTATGAAAAACTCTTTAATTTTTTATTAAAATATAAAAATTAGCTTCAATTTATTAAGATCATGCGCTAGTCCTTTACATTATTAAAGGTTTACATTTGACAGGATTAATGGGTTTGGTAGTAAAATATTTTTTATATATAAAATTTTTTGAGCACTATTGGGAAACATCAGCAAAATTGAATTGCATGATCATTCAGTGCAACCATAACATTTTTATTCACTTTGTACTAGAATGGACAAAGAACCCTAAGGTTTATATGTTAAACTAACAAAATGGTACAGGGTAAATTATATACACATATGTATGAATGTACATATATATATTTAGATTAAGGAGGAAAGTGACTCATATTACTGTAATATAAAGGTACAGTGCTAGGTGAACATGACCTTTTTTCTCTGTACATAGTTAAGCTCAAGGATGGAGTTTTAATCTGTACAGAAAGAACTGTATTATTGATCTTTTGCTGCTGAGAAGATAAGAATATAGCTGATCCTTGCCACTGTACAACCAGGGAAGAGTTAGAGTATGTCTTTTGTCTTTGCTCAAAGCCATACATATAAATATATATAAAGATTATTAATAAATCCAACAGAAAATAAACTAAAATTATGAATATTTTATTTTATTGTTGAACTCTAATCCAACGTTTTGCTTTGTTGATGACTATAGATTTGCTTGTTTGTCTGTCTTTGTATAATTTCCAAAAAGATTTATTCTTGAAAATCATCATACAATTCTTATAGATATCCTATAAATACAGAATGAAAATAATTTAAATAGACATGGATTTCCCAGTCATCCCTTTGTTTTACCTTTCCCATACAGTAAAAATTTATTTTATTCTTTACTCTATGCCTCTTTAATATGTGGTGTTTGTCCAGTTTCAAATCACAGCCATGTTTATATCATTGGATAGAGGATGATTTTTAATCTATGTACATGTCCTGTTGTCTTTGGGATTTTCAAATGCCTCCGATGAGGTTGATCACAATGAGGATAAATAGCAGAGCACTCTTAAACACAATGAGGATAAAATAGTGTTTTGCAATTTACTGTCATCCTGTAACACATAGCCTGCCTCCAGGTCTCCGTGACCTCTCCATAAGGAGTGATTACCAAGTGAATGCCATTCCACTTTGAAAAGCTGCTTATTCTACCATTTACAGACTTAAATGAACATGGTATTTTCAGGACACTGCAAAGGAAACAACTGAGTTATTCTAATAATTCCTAAAGGACATAAACAATTTACACAATATGATGAGTTTAAACTTTTAGACATATTATATTAAAGCTAGAATTACTTACTTTTCAAAGCACAAATCATTTCTAATAGTCTGTCAGGATTATTGTGTAAAAATATCTCCATTGATTCTTAATTGACTTACAGCTTTTATTTTACAATTTTGCTCTAATTGCTCTTTTGGACCTTCCTTTCCCTATTTTTATGATATTAAACTACATGACCCAGGTGTCTCTCACTTCTATCTCCAGCACTCTAGAGTATGTGTGAGACAGTGCAAGTGTGGGATAAGTTGTTGTCACTGTGGTTATTTACATTCACTAACCCTAACAAAGATTTACTATATGTTAGGGCAGTCCACCTAAAAGCATATCAGTCTGTGCCATGAGAAAAATTTATTCCTGGAATATAATCAGGTACTGAGCTACACTGAATCTTGAGTAGTCAAAAAATTATCATGAAATAATGCCTTTGGATATGTGGACCAAATTATTCCTCAGTTCTTTTAACTTGGTTCAAAATATTTTCAAAATCATGTTGGAGATTTTTCGTGCAAAGATTTTTTTTTATTGATTTTATGGTTATTTATACTTGCTATGGTCCCTTGACAATAGTGACTTTCTAAAGCAACTTAATTTCAATTTTAACAACACATTTGTATTATTGCATGTTTTTTTTAAAAAGGAAAATGATTGAGCTGATCATAAAGGGCAACCTTATTCTTAAAAGTAATGCATGAACTCTTAAAAAAAAAACAACTTTGCCTAACTTCAGGAAAGATTCAGATTCACACCAAGCCAGTCTTTCACCTTTCAATTTGAAGTTTTAAGTAACAGCCATATTGTGTATTGCTTTCCTTCACTGGGGCCACTGACATCTTCATGGATGGGTCGTTTTGGCCTTGGTCACATTCTTAGCTTAAAGGTATAAGAAGCATAAACTTCCCCATGTAGGAACAACTATCCTGATGGAGTAACAAATCCACCACCGTAAAAGATCCCTCATTGGACTCAAGGACATGTCTGTGATTTTTGAATACCTGATTGCTTTACACTTTGGGCAGTTCTCACTGTGAAATGCCCTTTCTACCTTTGCTTCATACTGAAACAATCTCTCTCTGACATGAGGTGATGAGGAATGGAGATAATTTTCCAAGCAAATCTGGAATAATGGTGATATGAGTGACATATTAGTTCCATGTATAATTTTTGATGTCCCAGATAACAAAAACAAGACAAATGATGTTTTTTATAAAATTAAAATCAATGTGATAATCACGACCTAAGACAGGACCCGACCCCACTCTTACATGACCATGCCTCTCTTATCTCACCATAATCCTACCCCTGTTTCCTCAGCCAAGGGTGGTTGAGTAGTGGCAATGAAGACTTGATTTTGTTGAAAGAAGACTTGCCAACACTTGCCCCATCGTGAGACTTGTTTAAAGACAATATCAAAAGAAAATGTATGCAAGTCTATGAATTTATTTTTAAGATACTTGGTGTAGAGAGAATGACAATAGAAAGAATATATTCTGAAGAAAGCATCTTCATGTAATGATAAATGAAACTTGCTTCTAAAATGTGAACGTTTAATGAAACACTGGTCATTGGCAATAGCCACATCTCGCTGAAGCTGGAGTGTGTCATAGATTAGAGAAAACAAATTTGAAATGGTAAAGTTGGATTTAAATCCTTTTAAAAAGTCATTTTTATTTTCAGGCCAAAGGTTTTATAATTTTATACTTTAATCTTAATTTTGCAGAGAAATCAAAGGGTACATGGTGAAATGCATGTTTTGCTAATGTGAAAAGAAATAAAATTCAATTTGTGACAGAGCAACAACTAAGGCTATTTGTTACCTCACACTACTTGTGAGGCTGCTGGGTCTGAAGGAAGACCTCGTGTTTGCCAAGGAGTGGGGATAAGTTTGGGAAACCAAAAATTTACCAGATTTGCATATCAAAACAGTACAGGGTGAAGGGTGAGGGCATGAAGAACCATGAAAATGAGTTAGACTATTGAACAGGGAAATGTTTGGGATTCAAATAAGCTAGTTTCCCAGAACTGACTGGTGGTACCCTGTTCCACAAACTGAGAAATATAGACATTCCTTGGAGATATTTTATTCCTAGTGTAGTATAAATCACCATTCAACTCAATAAGAACTAGCTCTTTATTATCCTGTAATTAAAATTATTTTTTAATATTTGAATAGACAGTGCTATTGATTCAGTAGACACAACTGCAAAAATCAGTGTACACAGTAATTCTCCAAAAGTAAGGGTCATTTATCTATTTTTAGATTTATTAGAATGACTTAGAGTTACTTATATTTCTTAAGCAGAAATAACAGACTTTTGCCATAACAGATGTTAAATTTTATCAGATTAAGCATAGGAAAGAAAATTCAGATTTATAGAGGCAAACATATTTTCCTAAAACATATTTTAGTTTCCATTTAAATTGTGGCAAACCACTCAGAAACGGAAGACACAATTTTGAAGGAAGTAATCATATAACTCAATTTACCCGATGTATAGTGTCATTTTATTTTGGTTATTTATGTGGTGAAGACCTTTGTTTCTCAGTATTTAAAAATAAAAATTGCTTGCCTAACTTATTTAAGATTTACTGTGAAGGTCTTACACAAAATTCTATTGACAGCAAGCAGTTCTGAATGCCTGAAAGTATGATATGCTCATATTTAGCATGAAGTATTGAACTTGAGTAATATTAAATAGCATTTCATAAACAAAATAGTTGCATAGACAAAGTAGCATATGTCTTCCATATATTTTTATTACAAAGATCCAAAGAATATTAACCATATTTGGCCACAGACAAAAGTATGGAAACGTGAAAGTGATAGTGTTCCTCAGAGTAATCACCATAAAATGCTGGACATATCCCCGCACAACATAATAAATCAAAACCTTTTTTGACCTCCCAATCAAGAGCAGCATTCAGGGTCAGTGCCAAGTTAATATGAATATTCAAAATAATAATTTATCTCTACTTTGCAACAGCAATCTCATTTTGTGAGTTAGCCAAAATTAATCTCAAGCCATAGTTTCTCAATCTGATAGATGATCAGGTTAGCACCACTGTTTATGATAAAAAGCAAATTGTGGTTCATTTTGTGTGTAGGTCATAACTATCCCTGAATGTCTAGAGATGATTGCTGTGGGATGTTCTGTATGGCAAATGTGTTGCTCTGATTGGTCAATAAATAAGACAATGATTGGCCAGTGACTAGGCAGGAAGTATAGGCAGGACTAACAGAGAGGAGAAAAGAAAGAACAGGAAGGCAGAAGGAGTCACTGCCAGCCGCTGTGATGACAAACAGCATGTGAAGATGCCGGTAAGCCATGAGCCACGTGGCACGGTATAGATTTATAGAAATGGATTAATTTAAGCTGTAAGAACAGTTAGCAAGAATTCTGGTATGGCCATACAGTTTGTAAGCAATATAAGTCTCTGTGTTTATTTGGTTGGGTCTGAGTGGCTGTGGGACTGGCAGGTGAGAGAGATTTGTCCTGACTGTGGGCCAGGCAGGAAAACTCTAGCTACAGATGATCTGAAAGCATTGACAAATGCAGTTTCACAGAGTCTGCCTATGCAGAAAAAAAGCAATATGGTATTTACATTAAAAGACTTAATGAACTCACAGCTTAAAATATGAAATATCTAAAAATTAGTTTTTGTTTCTTAGAGGCAAAAAACGACCTGTGTTAATTTTGCACATCTTTTTTAATGGTGTGAATGTTTTCATAGGACATTGTGTTTCTTTAACTAAATGGTATTGGCTTTGAATTGCTTAGAGGAATTCTTTACATTGATAATGGTGATAAAATGAGCTATCTTTATATTAGCAGTTTTCAAAAGCACACAAGTAAAAATGTATTACAATGTTTTGTCACTCCCTATACTAAGTATGAATGTTGGACAATCTTGTGATTACCCGTATCTCAGCATTTTAGGCTAAACTTGACTGGATTTCTAGTAAGATGGCTAAGATTCTTTCTACAAGGGTGTTTTCTGAGCAAAAGAAAGGGAGGGATGGAGGGATGGGTGAAGGGAAGGAGGGAGTTTGACTTAACAATATTACATTTTTTTTAGTCAGTTGATTTCAGATTATTTACCTCATCGTATATCTGAATGTTGATTGGATGTGAAAAAAAGCCCAGTGGAAATTTTGACATTGCCAGAAAGCTTCTCAAGCATTTACTAGAAATGTTGGACATTTTGCAAATGGTTATTCATGAGTGTTCTAGACAGATTCTGGGTGTTACTTCAGGATAGCCTTTCCTTCCTTTAGTTCAGTGGTTTCTCAATCTGTGGGTTGTGACCACTTTGAGTCATCCAAGGGTCATCTAAGACCATTGGAAAACACACAAATATTTACATTATGATTCATAACAGTAGCAAAATTAGTTATGAATTAGCAATGAAAATAATTGTATGGTTGGAATTCAGCACAACATAAGGAACTGTATTAAATGGGGTGCAGCATTAGGAAGGTTGAGAATGATTACTTTAGGAAGTAATATATTATAATAATTCAATTAATTTCAGTTGGTATGTCTCCCAAAGAAATGAGGTTATGTCTGTAAAATCTTAAGTAGTTTGGAAAACCTATCCAAAGGAATTCCTACCTATCAGCTCCATAAACCATATTTCATAAAACACATAATCCTGTGATAACAAAAAATGGAGTTTCTGGTAAGAAAAGTTTTGATACTTTTAATGACATTATACCTTGTAATTATGAATCCATTATGAATTGTGAATCCATTAAAAGCTTTACAGGCAGGGTTAGGGATTTAGCTCTGTGGTAGAGTGCTTGCCTAGCAAGCACAAGGGCCTGGGTTCGGTCCTCAGCTCCAGGGGAAAAAAAGCTTTGCAGGCTTATTAGGAAATAGATATACTATGTCTACAGAAAATTTATAAGCATACCATTAGCCCTTTATTTTATATATGAGAAAAGGAAAGAAAGAGGGACTAGCCAGCTGCTAGAAATAGAAAAAAAGCCTGCATATTTCAGTTTTTAACCTATTTTTAATGTGTACTTGCAGTTAATTTTCTTCTAGTCTGGCCAAGAATTGACATGTAACTCACAATAGCTACAGGCCCCAGGTTCCAAAGTAAACAAATTTAGGACATGGGAAATATAAACTGCCAAAAGCCATTCAACTCCAATGCATGGAAGAGAACATGGCACAGACAAGTATCAAATGTAGATCTGAAGGCATTGTTCAGTATTCATTTCTATTACGTGCTGTATACAATGGTCATTCTAAATAAAGGCAAGTAGAAGCATACTTGGTTAGGAAGACAGTTTTAAAGTATGTGATACAAAGGTTTTTTTAATTGTGTATGGGGCTCACCATCATCATCACTTAACATCACACACCTTTCAGATTTTCTTGCAGTGTATTTCTATGGATCATTTCCTCCCTGTATGCCTTTCTCCACGATATATTACATAATTGCCTATATAATATGAAAAAATACTCAAATAGTCATGGGCTTTATTTAAAATACCTAAAAAATGGATACTTCAAGCCAATATAGCCATCCTAAGGGAAGTGACAAAATATGAATAAATTTAAAAAGGGGTAGAAGGGGCTAATCTGAAATTGAAATGAAAATGAAATATTAGGAGGAAACTTGGGGAGAACAAGATTCATGTATATCCATTTTTATTTCCGTTCTGCCCCATGCAGTATTAACAGTGGTATCACCACAAATCCTAAGCACATAATTTCAAGAACAGTGTTGTGGCTACTGGGGAAAAGGATGATGTTGCCAGATACAGAATGGAGATAGACCTAAAAATGGGCCTTTTTTTAGATTGAAAAGAACACCCACAAAGGAACAAGTAAACAGGGAGCTGCTCACCCTGGGCAGAAGCAAACCTATTGTCAGGAAAGGCATGGAGGGGCAAACAGAGTACTCTTCAGATACACAAATGCATGGAAGGCCTCTGAAGTGCCATGATGACAGGGTTTCCCACAACAAGTGAGAACATACAATGCTAACAGTGCTTACACAAAACTGCACATCAAAGGTGTGTCTTCTCTCCCTCACTTATAACAGCAAGCTTCTTTTCTGACTGTAAACTAACAGGAGTGTTACCATTTTTTTTGTTCTCATTATGGTCAGTAGCACTCTTCATGTAAAGAGTTTCAACTTAGGAAATCCAGTCCTCAGATGGTGGGAATGTATATGGGAATAGCATGACAAAGACTTGCCCAATATAATTGTCTCACAGTACATACACTTTAATTTTTAAATTATTATAAGTGCTCTTCATTAGTTCTGTTCACATTGTGGTAAAAACATATTTGTAAATACATATTTCATTCTACCAATAAATCATTTCAGAAGAAAAAACCATGATAAAATCTCTGCTACAAAGAGGATTGAGAACTAACATCATCAATGCTAATGAGCAAAGTTATTTTTTTCTGTAACTTTGTTATTGGTGAACATTTCAATCTTTTTTCTTTTTCTTTCCTTTGTATTTCTCATTTCTTCCCTTCCTTCCCCCCACCACAGTCTCTATCTCTAGCTTTCTTGTTTTCTATTTTATGTTCTTTTTCTATTTTTATATTGCCTTATAATCCTGGCTATTTTAGAATTTATGTGTAGAACAAGATGCCTTTGAACTTGTGGCAATCCTGCCTCTGCCAACTGAATGCCTGGATTATAGGTGTATGCCACCATAACTGATGGAAAGTCTAGTTTCTATAAGATAGTGTATTACACAATAAAAAAATATTCAACTAAGAACAAATAAAGTGACTAACAGGAAAAATTACCAAGGGAAGAAAGTCAGATGAATTTGGAAACATCAAGTTGGACTGACGGTCTTTTCCACAGGTTTCTTACCACCAGGGCTATAAAATCTGAATAACCTAGTAATAGAAGGAGCATGGATCTTATTGTACAAACTTTGATAGTTAATGAAGCTTCCACATTTCTAATAGGAACTGAATGTGCAGCCAGAGGTGTTCAAATGGTAATATCTGAAGGACATCTAGGGATCCTTTTACATGTATTGTTCCTTTCATGTTGTTTAGAACTCCTACTATTTAGTCACATTGTTTTTGCTTACATCAACTTTCTTTATATATATATTCCTTGAAGTTCATATATATATATATATAGTGTTATATGTCTTATGTCATATATATATATTCTTGAAGTACAAAGTAAGCTGTTACTTCAGCTTGCTGTTTAGGTGTCCATTAACTTATCAAACTCATTCCTTGAATACTAAAATGTGTCAAGAAATACCTTAGATATTGTGGAGGTAGCTATGATATGAGATAATATTTGGGGCTAGACAGGTGGCCTGGTGGTTAAGAGCATTTACTGCTTTTATAGTGAAGCTGGGTTCAGTTTCCACACTGACGTGATGGCTCACAACTGATTGCTACTGTAGTTCCAGGAGATTTGGGGGTCTAATGTCCTCTTCTGTCCTCCAAGGATACCAGGAATATACATCTGTACATACAGAGTTGCAGACAAAAACACCCCCATGTGCATAAAATAAAAACGTAGAAATCTTTTCTCTTTAATTTTTACAGAGAAAAACAAAGGTTTGCACCTCCATTACGCTTATGTCTTTAAAGAAAGAAATAGATGATGAACAAGTCAGTAAAAGTGTAGACAGAGAAGAAAGCACTGGAGGACAGAGGTGCAGGGGAGGAGGAGGGAGTGCCAGGAATAAGGAGTGGGAGGAGGTGCTTTCTCCAGTGCCATTATCCACGATGATTCATGAGGGAGAAAAGTGAGCAATAACCAATGGCCACAGACAGACAGACTGTCTGATAGCCCAGTGCCTTTCTGTGCCTGTTCCTGAAGTTGTGACACATGCATTGGCAACATTAGTATCCTTCAAGAGTTTGTGTTAAGAGCAGGTTCTTGGGCCTGATGTCGCACAGGCAGGAGTGTGCTTTCTGACGGAGTCCCTGGGAGTTCACATGCGTTAGGTTATTGAAAAGCATGACCAGGAGGGACAATGAACTTTCAGAGATATGGACACTTCTAGGAGTGACACATCACAATAAAAGATCCTGGCTATACAGGGAGAGTGAGAGGGCTTCAGACAAACATGCAGAGCCTCGAGGCCATGGCCAATTTTACATGTCATCATTTTACCCTGGACCATACAGAACTTGCTTTGGTTTACATTCCTTTTCCCAGCCTGCCCCCTGGTACTTCTATGGAAGCAGAAAAGAAAAAAATTAAGACATATTATAATTTCCTCACTTTAACTAAGTCTCGCTACCACAGCCACTAATGTTTCTAACCTAACATTAATCTGCTATATCTTCTTCCCAAATAATGCTTAATGTTAACAGCCACACATTCTCATTGTAAAAGTAAGTTGTCCAATGTTCTGTAACTGAGCTTCTATTTTGCCATTAAATCTATGCACCTGCAGTGTTTTAAAAGTCTGGCTATATTGACTGGCTCTACTTTCTATACTTGTGTGTGTGCTAATTACATAGTTACATAGTATCTCAGCTTTCATTATTAATTTTTTCTCTCTCTCTCTCTCTCTCTCTCTCTCTCTCTCTCTCTCTCTCTCTCTCTCTCTCTGCATGTGTGGTGTATGCAAGGGTGTACATGTGAGTGCGGTGTGCACACCCATGTGGAGACAAGGGATCAACATCTGATGTCTTTCCTCTATAGCTCCTCCCCTTGTTTTTTAAACAGGGTCCCTCATTGAACCAGGATATAAGCTTCTCAGCACAGGGTTTTAGGCATACACTACCGAATACAGATCTTTATGAGTCCTAGGGAACCTGACTCAGGTAATCATGATTGTAGAGCAATCACTTTACCCACCCTCACCCCTCCATAAGTCAGTGTGTGTGAGTGGAAGGAGAGACACATAGACAGACTGAGAGACAGAGACAGAGAAACAGACCGCGAGATGTGTATAGGTGTAATTGTGTTTACCTGAGTAAGCTCATGAGCCACTCTTCATGTGTGGTCAGAGAACAAACTTGGGCATTGGTCCTTGCCTTTCCATTGCATTTGGGATGAGGGCTCTTCCCTGCTGTGCAAGCCAGGCTAACTGGTCACTGGGACTTCTGGAAACTCTGTCTGCCTCCCCTTTCCCATAGGGCACTGGGATTACAGACACTCATGTGCATCCAGTTTTCATGTGGGTCCTTAACATAGGTTGTCCAACTTATGCAACAAGAGATTTTGCCCATGAAGCCATAACTCCCTCCCTTTAATTTTCTTACATGCTGAAAGAAAGAGACAGAGAGAGACAGAGACAGAGAAGGAGGGAGGATCATCAGTTAAAAGCACCTACTGCTCTTGCAGAGGACACTAACTCTATTCTCAATACATACAACATAAGGCAGGTCACAACTGCCTGTCACTCTAGCTTCAGAGAACACCTGTATGCACCTCTGAATACCTCTCTACAGACTCACAGATATACACAATTAAATGTAAATTTAAAAGATTTGTAAAAGGAGATTGGTATATAACGTCTGTCTTATGGGGCAGATATAAGGGAAATCTTACAAAAGCTTTTACTCTAGCTCTTGACCCATTTTTGACATTTTATGTGCAACAAGAAGAATTTTCTGAGTCATGACACAATGAATTTCATGGGACGGAACTGTCACATTAGCCTTCCTAGTGGAAAGAGCTACACAGGAAATTCAGCCTCTTTTCCAGAGGAACATAGACCTAACTGCGGTGCCATATTTCTTTGGACCACACACTCCAGGGATTAGTATCTGGTCTGATATTCCCAGATGTGTTTGAGCAGGTGATACTACATAATCAGTAGTCTTGGTATCAACCAATCACAGGGCCAAGGAGACCGCTTTCTTCTAAGTGTTCTTAGATGCAATATGACAAGAAGACAATATTTCTAGACAGACACACTGAGTTCAACAAAACTCTCTTTGAGCTAGAAGTATGTTGATGGAGGGGTGGTACAGTCTTCCATCTCTTTAACATGTGTGGTGTGACAGTAGAATTTGTCCTGAGGTCTTTTGTATGAAAGGTTGATAGGATACTCTATACCACAGTATCCTAATACTCTAATCGGACACCTTGTATACCATCTTAATGATTAATGGTTAAAATGTGTACATGTACCTACACACATCTCTATTTGGTTACACACGGAGACTCACCTTCTTATTGGAATAATTAGGAAGAGGCAGTTTTCTGAATGACACCACATCAAGTTTTCTCCTTCTGTGAAGTACAAGTCCTATTCAAAAGCCAAGTGCCTGTTTGATGTGCTGAGAGAGATGACCCCTGTGTACCTGAAGCTCTGTAAGTGTCCAAGCATAGTCCAGCTCCTCTGACTCACAGAAAGCATATTCAAGTGAGAATTTGAACTTCTTGCTCTCTCTTTAAATTAAGGATCACTGCTAGACAGACTTCAGGCAGTGACATAAGGCCATTATTTCTCTATTTTTTTCTTTTTCTTATAGAGCTTGTACTTTAAAATACCCTACTACAATTGCAAACCTGCACAGTCCTTGGGGTTGGTAAGCTCTTCAGGCTGTCATATGGACTCAGTTCTAAAAGCTTTGTTCACAGCATGGGCTGAGATTTAAACTTCTCTATTATTTCCTGGTTTCTGAAAAAAAAATTAAAGTAGGGGAGGAAAAAAAAAGACACCCACTTCACGGCAGAGTCCTTTAATGTTACTGTGGTGAACACTGTTGTCAAAGATCTGTAGACAGGTGATGAAAGAACAAGACTAAAATAATCAGAGAACTGTGAAGTCTGAAAATTGAAGCTTCTCCGAGTTTCGTGTCAGCAGGTGCTGAGTCCAGTTTTAGAGGCTGAGAACTGTTCGTTTCATTGAGTGTTTACTGCTAAAATAGATGCTAAATTTAAAGACACCGATTGAGCATACCATTTATATTTGGGGGGTCAGAGAGAGAAGGCTCTGCAGCTAAGGGGATGTACTCCCCCTTGCAGAGGATCTGAGTTCATCTCTCAGCAGCCGCATCTGGTGGTTCACAACCATCTGTAACTCTAATCCTAGGGGTTGCTAAAGATTCTGGCCTCGGCAGGCACCTGCATTCATGTCCAAATACACACACACAGAAAGACACAAAAACACTTTGGGATAATAAAAATAAAATAATTAAAATTACTTTAAAATTTTAATTTTAGAATTTTTTTTTCGCTTTTAAAGCATGTATGGCCAGATTAAATGTAGTTGCTAAGAAAATAAAACAAACAAAAAACAAAGAGGAAATGTTGTTTTTAGGAGAGATAATTTATTGCCAATGACTATTGCAATGTTCTGTGACCTTCCTTGGCTTATTTATAGTTAGAAACAAAAGGGTTGATACATGTTCAGAGTTTGGCTTAACTTAAAATTTAAATGCATTATTTTTTTATATTGGGGATGGCATGAAAGGCCAATGCCCTTTACACATTTCATTCTTTGAGGATCTGGTCAATTATTAAAACTGACATCACCTCTTAACACTGTTCTTTCCTGGGGAAATGATATCTTGTCTGTCATACTTGTGGAAAGCCTAAAATGTATATTTTAATATAGATACAATAAAAGTGAATTTGTCTTTGAATTTTCTAATTACCATTTTCCATATTATTCCATCCAGTTATACTCTTTCCGTTCTACCAGACTCTAAAAAGCAATCTGGCATCATTATAAGCTCCATGTGAGTTAATTAGGCTTGGATTTTCCTAAGGTGTGTTTGCATTTTGAAAGGAAATGCAATCGTAAAAATGGGAAACAGGCTATAAAAATAACTGAGTGTTAAGTAATCCTTGCACACCAGTCAGTTGCCTTATCTGAAAATAAAAAAAGGTGACAAAAACATCTTTTAGACTGCTTCTAGAATGAAGACTTTGAAGCTTAAAGACCCAGAATGATTTGACAGGGGCTAGGGATACCATTAGGAACACTATAATACTCTATAATACAACAAGTCAAATACGTCCTGAGTAATGGGGTGTATGGAGAAAATAAACACTTGAAAGGAATGGTAGGAGCTATAACTAAGAGTTCAATAGAGATGGCGAAGGGATACCAAAAGACTGTAATTATACCAGATTATGTTGGTATGAATGATCACAATTATCATAATAATGATATAGATAAAGTATAGAGAACTATGAAGTAATAAGATGCTTATGCCAGCAACATAAGAGATTTTCTGAGGATCCAAGAATGATTTACTAGAGTCCCCAGTTATTTACATGGGCAGTGTCCCCTTAAAGGCTAACAAGTTAAGGATTTGATTCCTAAGATAATATTCAAAAGTGGGATTTGGCATAATTAGATCAAGAGGGCCCTCAACTAATCAATAAGACAATTTCTTCATAGGTTAGTCATTTGACTGTGTAGTTCTAGAGATGATGGAAGCTAGGAATTGGAGCCTAATTGGGGGCGGTACTGGTATTTCATGGTCTTTTAGGAATATTTCTTATCCCTAGTGCCTGCTCGCACTCTCTCTTTCTCTGTCTTTCATTATAAAGTGAGCAGACTCTTTTTCCATGCCGTTATCCTATGCTATTGGGCAGAAATTTACTGTGGACCAAAACCTTTGAAGGCACAAAAAAAATTATTACTTTGAAATAATTTATGCCAGGCATTATTTTGTCGCCATGAAGAAAAGGCTTACAAGTACATCAGCCTAATCCAACAGCCTTTACAGATATAATTTCATTATCATATACTATCATATCATTTCTCTCTAAGTAACCTGTGGTGCACCACTAACCCTAATAGAATTCTGTCTGGAAGTTTCTTTCTCCTTTCCTAACTTAACTTACTAGTGGTTTACCTACAGGGAGGTTTTCCTTAGTGTTGTCTTTTACCCTCTTTCCATTCAGTGTGCTCGGAGTTTGCATATTTCATCAACTCAACCCATTAAATGAATCCAGTATCCTGTCTTCACTAGTGCTGTCACACCTCTGCTAAAAACCAGCTTAGAAGGTGGAACTCACAGCCAGCCAGGCATCCCCCCCACTACACAGTATGACCTGTGCTCTGTTTCCTTCCTTTCAATTGTCTCTTCAATTCATGCTGATGTCACTGTTGCCATCCTGCCCCTGAGTCCCTGCAGTTAGGATTCTGCAGCACTTTCATCTCACACACAGGTCTCTACATGCTTTCAGTATTTATACCTATACTGTGTAAGAATGCAGCATATATTATGGCCAACATGTCATCTCCTTGACTCTTTACTCAGTTCGGAGAACAACTCCAGGTCAATCAAATCAGTGTCTCTACTTTGCGTAAAGAAGCTTATATATCTGCCTTTTTAGCAACCCTAGTCATCAATTATCATTCACCCTACAAAATACAACTTCCTACTCCCTTCTCTCAATGTAAGCAAAGCCATTTAATACCTGTACCCTCCACTGCAAACTTCTCCACTTCACTCTTCCCTGGTCTTCAGTCTCTGTTC